AAAGGGGAAGTAAGTAAAAGCTGAGCACTGAGTAAAGATGGAGAACTAATGCCTCTGAATCAAGGTGCTCGTGTATAATAATGAATACCACACAGACTGACAGAAGAACAAGCAATCTGTCTTGGGAGAAGTGCAACCAGAATGTGCCTTAGAAGTGAGTGGAACAAGTCTCAGTCTTTGGACATATTATCAGGAAGGGCCAGTCCTTGGAGAAAGATCTATTTAGCAAAGGGTCAGTGGGAAAGGAGATGACCATCAATGGTCATCAAAAGGACTGACATAATGACTACAGAAGGGCTCACACCCAGCATGATCGTGAGGCAGGGGCTGGATGGCGTTGCTAAGAGATGGAGCCCACTTGATAGCACCTATTGACAACTAACAGCTGATGTGAGAACATGAAGCCTCAGTCCTGTTTCACTATGATTGTCACAGGGCTGGGGACATCTCAGGATCATTCACATAATCACAACAAAGTCAAGAAGCAGCCTTTTAAAAATATTGGGCAAGAATGGCAGAGATACTGACTGGGATGTCAAATAGTGGGTGCTCTAGAGAAAAAGTCTTAAAAAACTGGGCCACGAACTTAATATAATGCCATTAGAGGATGTTCAGGCTAGGAAGAGCTCTTCTTCAGGCGATGACTTCCGAATGCAGAACACTATCGCTTTGTATTTCATGTCTCCTCTCAGAAGTGACTTACAATCAGCAGTCATGTCCCCAATCTCACTAAGCTGCACATATGTGCAACAAATGTCCATTCAGCTCCAGCAAATTTAGCAACCCGTGACTTAATAACGTGGCTGTGAGCTTCATGCTTTAACTGATGGTTAGGGGGCTTACAGAAATTGTTGGTTCTAGACTGCAAGTTGTTCCTGAGTATGCACTTTGGCTTCCAAAGGTAATTAAGAGACATTCCTCCATTCCCACCATTAAAGATCCCAAACTAGGTCAGTTAAATGTTAAGAATAAAAGGTATGCGTCTACTAATCCACCAAGGATATATTTTGTCTTTATTTATTATACGGAAATAGGAAATCCCTTAAATTAATATGTTATTGTTGTTTACCATCCGGTCCGAACCGACCCATAGCTACCCTCTGGTAGGTTTTCAGAGACAGTTAATCTCACTGGAGGAGACTGCTCATTTTTCTCCTTCGGAGTGGCTGGTGGCCTTGAACCGCGTGCCTTCAGGATTGCAGTGCAGCTTCTTGCCACTAGGCTACCATAGTTCAGTATACAAAAGAAAATACTTTAGAAAAACGTTATGGATTCATATAATTGTGATAAATAAAAGGATAGCAAAAAAGCTTGGGAAATACCCATCATAGTACAAAGGGTATTTGAACACGCTGTTCTGTCTGCATGAAACAAACAAACAAACAAACAAACAAACAAAAAAACCCTTTTAAGATTACAATAAATTTTGACTTTTGTATGTCTAAACTTCATAGGAGAAAACAAAAACCCAGCAACTTAAATTTTTAATTTAACAGAGATTTCTTCTTTTAAATTTTTGTTTTGTAATAATTCTATTAAAGTGAAAATATACAACTGCTTTCAAAGTCATTGTTCCCTTATATTTCATTTAGAAGCTATCATAATTACTAGAAGAAATATGGTTTACATGTGAAACAATGTGAGCTGGGAACATTTTCTAACCTTCTTGAAGGCAGCATCTGTCAAATTACTGCTTTGATTGTTGTTTTCCAGAGTCCTAACCTTGAGAATGACTGAAGCTAGAACACAGTAGATTATTTTAATAAATTTTAATAACAGTTTAGCATAACTTTAAAGAATACTGTTTTAGAAGGATGTACATTTTACAGTAATAACACACAAGATGTGAACATAGATGAAGCATTACAGTTTATTTCAGTCAATACAGTTCTTCTTTGTGGAAAAGATCTTCTTCTCAACCTAGTGTTTTCAATCAAGTTGGTCAGTTAAAAAAATGACCCTGTCAGAAAGAAGTCTGGACCGTTTTTCACAAAATTGACTCAAACTTCAAAGGAAGAGTTATTTGGATACACAGTAAACTTTCCATAAGGTTAAAATAAGATCTCATCAATGCCTGTTTATTCTGCAGTAACAGGCAGTAGACAAATCCCTTCCAAGTTATACATACTTCACATGGAGAGGCAATGATTCCCTTCACTATGTCTAATGTAACCTCTTAGGTACCATTTGCTTTACAAATTATACAGAAGACGACAATGGACAAAATTTCTCCATGAAAGAGAACTTGAAAAAAAAAGTCTATTACTGCTGAGTGAGAAATTTTAAAAAACTGGCTTTCTAGCTACAGCAAATGATTCTTCAAAAAATTACTACATGCAAAATAGAAGAAGTCAATTCCAAATCAGTAAATGAAATGACTGTGCAAAGGGGTTCCTGGCACATTTTCAAGGTAATTAAGCAGAACTGAGAAGGCTCTTCTAGCCTTGTAGTCCCAAGGTGGTGTAAACATAATGTGCTAGGCTCATAAATACAAAGGAAGAAGTTCAAGTTCACCCATAGAGGCCTCAGGGGGAAGAAAAAAAAAATTAAAACTCTATGAAGCACATGATCTATTACACATGAGTCAGACTCAGTTCTTCTGTTAGCACCAAACAATAGCAACAGCTGCCCTGAAGTCCCAGAAAAACACTTTAGGATATCATCCTCTTCCTACTAAGTCTCTTCCACTCCAGATTTTATTTTCTAAACCAAAAGACATCTAGCTTGCATGGAGGTCTTCCAAGTTAGACTATCTGTAGAGAAGTTTGCATTTCTTTACATTTTTCTTACTATGTACTTAAATCCAATCGGCATTTGGACCCCAGGATACTTTTACAAGACAACCTGATAACCTCAGAAAGGAAAGAAAGAATCTAGTTTGGAGTAGTGAGGGTCCTATTTTTAAGTGTTCCCTTCTCACCCCCCACCCCTTATCTTACAGAATGAAGTACAGCGGGAATGAACGTAAGGTTTTGAACCACAATGTCAAAAACTAAGTGGTCTGAAGAGGCAGATTAGCAGCAATATGAAACCTGGTCGAACTGGCACCTGACTACAGGCATTATGCTTGTGTTGTTAACCAAAAGGCAAGCAGTTCAAAATCTACCAGCTGCTCCAAGAGAGAAATGCGGGAAGTGTCCTTCTGCAAAGATTTACACCACCAGAAAACGGATGGAAAATAAGCATTGGAATCGATTCATTGGCAGATAGTGGGTTGACACAAAAGGCTGAGGGTCTAAGCCTATTTGATAGGCTCAAGTAAGGAAGGTAGAGTATTTCCATAATCTACTTCCCTCAAGATCAGAGCCCAAAAAAGCCCAGGGAGCAGTTGCCATGAGCTGGAATCGATAACCACAGCTACAGGTCTGTTTTTTGAAGCTGCATGAATGCTGATTCTACTTAAAACAAACGTTATTTCCACTTCTGAGTGGCTTAACAGGATCCATCCAGCGTCCTCAGGATCTATTTTGGGTATTAACTTGGAGAAGGAATTCAGCAAACAAATACAGAGGAGACAATAATTTTAACAGTTTAAAACGTGGTCATGGGAAGAACAATGCAAGTGAGAGTAGAAGGAGGAAGATGTGATTGTGATTGTTTTTAATCTGAAGGATGACCATATGGAAGAAAGATCAAGGATACTTATCTATACATCAACAAAGAGACAGACTGAGGACCAACTGGTAGAAAAACTACAGGACAATGGATTTACTTGACACAGAAGCACTCAAACAAAAGCTAGAAGGCCCCATAACAAAACTGGTTTGGTGGCTGGATTCAATATGATCCATAAGATCCCTTCCAACTTTGTTCAGACCCTAGACTACTAAGGAGGTCTAATTTGGAAAACTACTTTAGGAAATAGTTTAAAAATGTTTATAAAAACTACTGCATTTAGATATACTTCCACCAGTATTCTTCAGATGATCAAATTCAAAGAAGGAGAAGACAATGGAATTCTTCCTACATGGGGCTATAATGCACTTAGCATCAGATGACAAGGATTACTCAGAAAGCAAATGCCAACAGTTCAATCACTGCACACTGATGTAACATAAAATACACAAGTGTCATTTAAGATGCTGCATCAAGGCTTAGTATTTCTAGGTGTAAGCTACACAATAAAATGATCCTTACAAGTTTTGAAACTCTGCTTTTAGCTCACCAAAACAGGAGCAAGAGCTGAGCTGTCTCAACTTGTCCCCTTAGGGGCAGAGAGGGAAGCAAACCTTCACAGAACAAGTTAGCCACACTGAAAGGGAGGAGGACACACCTGACTGGGATCCATTTTTGCCAATGTACAACTTATCCTCAACAGTTTACTATTACTTTGGCTAACTCCTTATCCGTGCTTGTTCTTCTTTGGCACTAACTGTTGCCGAATACAAGATGACGCCCATATTGCTGGGTTCAATAACTGAACAAATGTCGATTCTGATTGACTAGGAAAAGAAAACAATATGGATATCAGTGTTTCACTGGCTCCATGTAAAGTCCATTCACATAGATAGGCAGACACACCATTACTGGTATGTCTGGTAATTAGCTTTTTAATAAGGCTTCACCAAACATACAAAATCTTAGTGTTGTTTAGTTTCTGTAAGGCTGAACCTCAACTGAATTGGCACTATAAAAACTAGGGAAATTCCTAGTATTTTTGGTGAGTAATCAAGTCCTGAATACTGCCAACCAAATGCATCAGAATGAGGATACTAGGTAAATATGACTTCCCAGTAGAACAGACTTCTAGGTAATTAAATTTCTATTCACTGCTTGGGGAAGAAGTAAGAGTTATTTTTCCTACAAGTATGCCCCCACAACTAAGAAAATTCAATCATCATCAACTCTCTTCATCAGATTTCTAAGTCTGTTCATTCAAGTTTGCTCTATATTCCATATTTTTAACAAACATGTTTTGGGGCTCATTTCTAGAATATGGATTTCATTTCCATTTCAAAAGACCAATTGAGGCACTAGTTCTGAGTTTAATACTAGATTCATTAAAGTGTTTTAATTAATAAACTTTCATTAGAAAGTTCAGAATGTGTTAATACAGCAGGCACACTGGTATCTATGTTTGGCATTTGACAGTCCACAGAATTACACTTTACTCTCACAATTCTGCCACAGCTTTGTGGTTTGTTTGGGTTAGACACATAACTGGCCTCTCTCATGAAATGGTTAAATATAAATTTTGGTTCATTCCAATTTAGATGTTCTGAGTTCACACTGACATCAGTCTGAAACAAGTCTAACTCTGTCTCTGTTTCTACCCTGTCCGTCTGATGCACTAAGCTACAGTCCTTGTTTTCATACCCTCCACTGCCCTTTGTTTTACTACTGTCTCTATTTTTACAGAGTCCTCTTTGGCTACTCTCAGCCTCACTGCAGTCTTCTGTTAAAGACCCAGTGCTTCTGCGGGCAGATGTCTCTGACATCTTTGAAAAATGCTCTTCGAGACTCTGAAGGCTGTGTATGCTGGTGTTCTCTGTTGTTTCTTGTGTCTGAATGTGCTGCAATGGGTGAAGAAAGAAATTCTGTGGCACAGAGTTCTGTACCCTGTGTGGGTTCCCTCTTCCCTGTGGGCAGGCGCAGTGGTGGATGTGTGGGACAGGTTGCACAAAGCCCTCAGGAGCATGGTGTGCGGCCTTCAGTGCTGGTGCCAGGCCATTCTGAATCCGGACAAAGCTGCCAGGTGAAGTGGCACACTGGTGGCACAAGCAGTCACCCAACTGCTGGCAAGGGTGCGGGCCATACTTGAAATGTTTGTAGGCGGTGGGGCAGCCACAGCCCCGATTCACAGAGAAGAGCTGACACATGGTGCACTGTTTGTGAGGGTACTGTAACAAGGCAGAGTTTGTGTCATTTTTGGTGCTTAGGCTGCACTCACTGCTGTAAGTGGCATGTGCAGACATCCCTAAATTCTTTGCTTGCCTGTTGAAGAATTTGGAGCAGATATGAGTTTCTTTATAAGTGGTATTTTCAGAAATACTACAGCTGTGGGATGCCAGAGGTTCTAATTCATAAAACTCATGCTCCACTTCAGAGTTTTGGCCCCTGGGATCTAAATGAAATGCATTCGTGGTATGTGTTTTGCTTTGTCCTTGGTCACCAAGTCTTGCAGACAAGGCATGGGAAAAGGCACTGCACTGTAGTTTTTTAGGTAATGAAATCTGACCACAGGTCCCCTGTGGCCCAAGGCACCGGCACATACACTGGAAAAAGAAGGTGGCAAAAGCCCAGCTGATGCACATGATCAGCATCATGAAGGTGCCCAGCTGGGTGTAAGCCAGCACTGTAGAGGGCATCATCATGGCCCCAGCCACGAAGGTGGTCAGAGCAGCCATGGCGATCGCAGAGCCCATGCGGCTCAGAGAGAAGACCACCTTCCCTTCACGGTCAGCATCGGGAGCTAAGCGATAAGCAACCCCATAATGGACAGCAAAGTCTACAGATAAACCGACCGCAACTGAAATGGTGACAGACTCCAAAACATTGAGCTCCCAGCCCAGCAGGACAAGAGAGCCAACGGTGACAAAGATTGTCCCAGCGATTGAAATGATAGCATAGAGGCTTATGATGATGTTCCAGGTAGTCAGGAGCATCACACTAAATGCAACGGTGACTGACAGCCCCATGGCAATGAGGGTGCCATCAGAAAGGCTATCCTGAAGGTCATAGAACTCCAGACTGCTGACAAACCAACCGTTGCTGAGGCCTTCGGGTGCAGAGCTCAGCTCGTTCGCAATCCATGCATCTACCTCCTTATAAAATTGATGCATCTTTTCATAAGCTAGAGTGAATAGGTAGGTACTTTGGAACTCCAGCACTACTGCCCTGATAGTATCATTGATGTCAAATCGTGGTCCCGGTGTCTTGCCATCTAAATGGTAGCCGGTACTCTGCTCTAGCTCCATGATGGCTCTCTTGATGCACAGTTCAAAAACCTCTTGCTTATAGGGAAAGCTCCAGTGGCTACAGCATGGGTACAGGGCAGGCTCATCACAGTCTTGGTTCTCCATCCACTGCTTGAATGTTTCAATGAAGCAGCTGGTGAAGTCCTGTTCCTCAGTCTGGTAGAAGAAGGTCTGATTTCTCAGTTTTTGACAGAAGTGCAAAATCCAGACCTGGGAAGCAGGGCTCGCAATGTTAAAGCTGCTATCTAACACCAACTTCCCTTTGTTCTTGGGGTTGAGTGGGTTGCCGTTGTCCTCGGGGGACACGCCCCATATGACTGTGATGGGCATGTGGAGCTCTTCTCCATGATGAACGCGTTCAAACATGAAAAGTTTCTTGTACTCAGCATCATAACGTTCGAAAGGGTGAGATGACCTGAACACTTGGAACTCGGATAACTCCAGAGAGGGCAGCTTCATCTTTGGGTTAATACATACAATGTAGGCCCCGCCTACAGTTAAGGCAAGAAACCAGAACAGCCAAACGTAGCGAAACTTAATGACAATGCACGGCAACACCTTTTCAAAAAAAATGCGAGAAGCTTCTGAAACAGCAAAAATGACTTTGTGACATTTTTGGCAAGCTGTTGTCCAGCAGTTTTTGCTGTCATAGATCTGCTGCTGGGGCTTTCTGAAGCAGTTAAATATATGGAGGAGATAGCGCTCATGTAGGACCACAACTGCCGGGAGCCAGGTGACCATCAATACATAATTCACGAGTACAGCCGTTCCTGCATAAACCCCAAAACATCTGATTGCTGTGATGCTGCTAACATAGTTAGCATAAAAAGCTGCTGCTGTGGTGAAACTTGTGACAAACATGGAGAGGGCCGCATGCTGCAAGGTGATGCTCATGGTCTCTGAAGTTTTGGCATGAGGTTTCTCAAATTTGGTGTGGTTCCAAACATCACACAGGACGAATGCGTCATCTGCTCCAATTCCAACCAAGATAATGAGTGCAGTGAGGTTCATAAAAGGAAAAAACTCAAAGTTAAATACCACACGATAGAGGAAATAGGAGACGATCAAGGAACTGATGATTGCAAACATTGTCATCAAGGTGATAAACATGGACTTGGTGTAGACACACATGACTAAGAGGACAATTACGATGGCAATGGCAGGATACACAGTATCCATTAGAAGGTAATCTTGAAACAAGCTATGTTTGATACCAAACTCAATCCCGGTAATGGTGGTCACACCGTCGGAAGAGTTCCAATTTTCGAAGTTGTCCAAGTAAATGTTCATCATGCTCTCTCCTTTCTCTGTGGGAGAGAAGAGCATGCTGTACTGCAAAGGGGGCAATGGGGAGTCAGCCATCTTTGGGGCCATGAAGTCTTTGTCCACCAGGTAATGGAGGATCTGGTAGACGGCGTTGTACTTGGTACATTTTCGAGGCACACTGGTGCACTTGAGCTGATCTTTTCTCCTGGCCGCCATGTCCCAGCAGTCAGGCCCCAGGGTGCCATTTTGGTAGTGTTTGGCGCAGGTCCGGAGCAGCTTCAAGGTGTGAGACACATCCCGCTCCACGATCTTCTGACAGGATGACCTGTTGTGTAGGATGGCGATGTAGTTGCCCAGCGTCCAGCTGGGACAGCAGGAAGCGGCAGTGGTCCTCTGGCAGAGGTCGCCAAACTGGGGGTGGGATCTGATCTGCAGAGAGAGACACCAGAGGGCTGTGGTTGAAAATTGTCCCCTGAAAGGTGTGAATTAGGGTGCTTTTGACGAGTGGGAAAAGTTACAGGAGTCAACCAACCTTTCTCTTAAAGAGGCCATCAGTTGAAATGCAAAGTGACATTTTCCCCTCAAAAACAAACAAAAAAGATGGCTTGATTCCTTACTTTTGAAAAAGATCTACTCTTTTGAATGACATGTAAGTGCTACACAATCTCAATGCTGTCTTCTTTAAACAAGGATACCAAACTAATACCTATTGAATAGATAAGACTTTCAAAAAGCAATAAAGTGGGTATAGGTTATGAAGTTCTCATTTATACCCATAGGATTAGTTAAGAGAATTGTCCAACTGATACATGAAACATCAGTGGCTTTGCCTAAATTTTCTGTTACTGGCACAAAAGCTCTGTTGACTAAAGAGTCTCAATCAACTTAATTAGAAGCAAAAATTTTATGCCCTTGAAAATTGTTAGGTGCCTTAAAAAGTGACTGTGGTGTGACAATGTTGTCAAAGATGTGAGAAAGATTTAGAATGAAAGGATTCCTGAACAATGTCCTGGAAAAGGACATTGTTTCTAAGTGAATACTGTTCATTTTCCATCACTAATCATTTCAATACTAGAATATGGTAAAGCTCTCCTCCTGTGCAATCAACTCCTCTGAAAACCCACTAGAGGGTCAGTGATGGGTCAGTTCCATCTTGATAGTAAACAACACAACAACAACAACAACAACAACAACAACAACAACAACAACAACAACGGTAAAAGCAGGTATAACTGTGCTGCCTTAAAAAAAAAATCTATAAATTAGATGAATGGCTCCTGTTCCCTGGAAGTGAAATTGTTGTTGCTGTTATGTGCTTTCAAGTTACCTGCAACTCATAGAGAACCTATGTACAACAGCCCTAAATTCCGTGACAATCTTATTGCTTCTGACACACCCACCTTGATTACCCCAGTGATGGAATAAATTCATTTCATTGAGGGTCTTCCTCTACTGTGTTGTCCCTCCACACTCCCAAGCATGAAGTCCCTCTCCAAGGACTGGTTCCTCCTTGCAACATGTCCAAAGTATGTCAGACGGAGCTTCAGAATCCTTGCCTCCAAGGAGCAACCTGGTCTCACCCTCTTCATGGAGGAAACTGTTTGTTCTCCTAGTTGTCCATGGTATATTCAATACTCTTCTCCAACACCACAGCTCAAAGGCATCAATTCTCCTATCATCCCTAGTCATTATAGTCTAGCTTTCCAATGCATAGCAAGTAACTGCAAAGACTATGGCCTGGATCAGGCACACCTTAGTCTCCAGACTGAAATAATTGCTCTTCAGTACTTTGGAGAGATCTCTGATAGCAGAAGGTAAAATAAGAAATTTTATCTTTCCTCTTGAATCTATCTGAATCTCTTTCTTGTTAAAGCGAGAGCTAAAGACAATCTTGCCCTATTACTTTACCTCACTGCTACTTAAAAACAAACCAAAACAACAAAGGCTGTTTCAGGGAAGCAGCTCTGAAGTTGAAGGAAGGTGTGGCTACTTTTTCCATAGTAGGATTAAAAACATCCTTTCCTTTTCCTTAAACTTGTTGTTGTGGACTGTCTAGTTGGAACAGACTCATAGCTGACCTTCCAGAAAGTTTCAGAGGTAGTAAACCACACAGGAAACTCCCCAGGATTTATAAATTATGTGGCTGAGAATTTATCACAAATCATTAAGAGCTTCAAACTAGTTAATTTTGGTTTTAACCCCTTACTGAAAACCTGCATTTCTCAAGTGAGAAGAAGCTGTTAAAACGTAGATTCTGAGTAAATGTATTAGGGGTGGAAATGTAAAATCTCAGGGAAAGGCTTCATTGCTTCAAAGCTCTGATGCTAATATCTTATTTTTATTGTGTATCCAGTGGATGGTGACTCATAGTAGCCCTATGACAGAGAAGAACTGCCCCATAGGGTTTTCTAAGCTGTATTCTTTAAGGTGCCTTCGTGGTAAGGAGTTACACCGCCAAACTAAAGGCACCCAAGTCACTGGTGAGTTTGCACTGTCATTCTTTTGGTTAGCAGCCAACTTAAATGTTCAACCAATGTACCTTATTGACTTCAAGACTAATCTTATGGGGCTGGGGATGTAGAGGAAGCAAGATGGGCTTTGTGTTGGTAACTGCTGGACTTGGGTGAGCTACACATGGAAATCCATTATACTATTCTCTCTACTTTCGCAATACATGCCAATTTTCCCTTAAAAAAAGTTTTTCTTAAAAGATACTCTACTGGCATTAAAGAAAAATGAGCCAAAAGGATTACCACTCAAATGTGTTAAAATAACATTTACTTTAACACAGGCTTGGTTCCTTTCTGAAGAACATCAGTTAACATTCCACAAAACAGGATAATTTGATTGTTTCCAGATTTAAAATATTCACATACCTTGGGGAAAACTGAAGCACCTAATAAATAACAGGAAACACTGTAACAGCATCAATGTGGTTTTTCATGGCAGATAACCAAGTTTTGCCCCTCACACACCCAAAATAACATGCAAGTCCCTGCAGTCAGCTTGTTGACTTGAAAGAAAAGTTATACATCTTCAATAACTGATAGTTTTCAGATAAAGGAAAATGAACTACATCCATTATGAAATACACTGTTAGCCAGAAGGAATATACTTGCTAAAATAAACAATTTTTAGAGATAAAGGAACTAGGGCTGTGTTGTTAACTGACAGAGAATGAAAACAGGGACACGAGGAAATGATTTCGGAAAAAAAAAAGGAAGGCCAGGCAGAGGTCCTCCACAGCTTAGCTCTGTGAAAGGCATCTTCCTCCTTCCCATGGTTTTTATTTAGTTTAAACCAACAATTAAAAAGAAAATTCCAATTTCGTGAGGCTATATTTTCCTTATATGTAAGTGCTGCCAACATAACAATGGGTAAGCTTAATTCTTAAACCAAAAGCAGGATGACTCCAAAGTTCAGGAACAGTATCCTCTCCAGTGAGAGGCTGGGAGGAACCTTCTGTTTGCAGAGGGCATCCAGTATCTCCTCTGGTGGGTGGGTGGAATTCTGTTTGCATAGGTTCCCAGTCCAGCCTGGACTCTGATCTCAGCTGCAGGTCGTCTATCACTATGCTGAGCTATCCATAGGACTGCCAACTAAAAATGATAAAAAAAGCACAGAAATCTGCTCTGAAATAACCTTTTCAAATATGGGCTAATAATTTCTTAATGTGTATATATATAACCAAAGATTAAAAAACTGGATGTGATAAACACAGACCAAATGTATGTTGATGGCTGCTATAAAAAAAAGAATACTAGCAAGGTCCTCAAATTCAAAGGTGATGTGGGTTGCTGTATGTAAAATTTTTTTCCAAAGAAAAAAAACTAACCAGGAGGTAGTAGGGCAGGGAAGAAAATGTGCAACAATGAATGAATGGAAATCCAAGTTCTTTATAAACTTTCATCAAAATCTCAAAAAAAAAAAAAAGACATTTGGAAAAAGTCTTAAAGGACATTCTGTGTTATTGGCAGGTGCCATCGAGCTGGTTTTTGACTGCCCCCTATAAAGACAGAAGAGGAAGAAAAGACCAAAATGGATGTCAGAAGAAACTCTGAAGATTGCACTGGAACGTAGAGAAGCCAAAGCACAAGGAAGAATCCAAGACACTAAAGAGCTGAACAGAAGATTCCAAAAGGC